ACCTATATTTATAATTTTTATACATAACAAGAACTCAAAAACGTAAAAAATACTTGAACTCGGAGTTATCTTTATGGGGACCACTAAGAGGTTTTTTATAGAAAGCTTTCGACCACGTTGATTCCTGGAAGGATGTTTTTGAATGACCATCTGAGCCACAAACGTGGATTTTTGAGGACTATTTATTAAAGAATCCATTGAGCTACTTTGAATTTCTTTAGACCTTTTTTTGAGGGACCATCTAGGGAATGATTTCGAAGAATCAAGTAGATCTTACGAAGGATATTTCTCTGTGTTTAATATCTGTGCTACTAGTTTGGATTTTAGACACCATCTTATGAAGGACTATCTGACCTACTTACTTGCATGTTTAGAAACCATTTTTTGAAAGATAACGTGTATTTGTAAAGGCCAGGTCTTTGGAATTTTATAGATAATCTTTTTGAAGGACCATCTAAGATTAATTCTTTAAGGAATGATTTCGTAGAATCCAGTAAATTCTTGACAGGATATCTCTATCAAATTTCTATGATGAGACCAGAAGGTCTCATCAAAAAAGACCAGATGGTCTCCTCATAGAAGACTAGAAGGTCTTCTCATAGAAGTCTTCCATATAAGACCAGAAGGTCTTCTATGAGAAGACCTTCTGGTCTTCTATGAGAAGACCTTCTGGTCTTCTATGAGAAGACCTTCTGGTCTTATATGGAAGACTTCTATGAGAAGACCTTCTAGTCTTCTATGAGGAGACCATCTGGTCTTTTTTGATGAGACCTTCTGGTTTTCTATTAGAAGACTTTTTTGGTCTTCTATGAGAAGACCTTTTGGTGTTCTATGAGAAGACCTTCTGCTGCTCTTCTCGGAGAAGACCTTCTGATACACTTCTCTGAGAAGACCTTCTTCTGCTCTTCTCTGAGAAGACCTTCTTCTGTTCCTCTCTGAGAAGACCTTCTTATGCTCTTCTCTGAGAAGACCTTCTTCCGCTCTTCTCTGAGAAGACCTTCTTCTGCTCTTCTCTGAGAAGACCTTCTTCTGCTCTTCTCTGAGAAGACCTTCTTCTGCTCTTCTCTGAGAAGACCTTCTTCTGCTCTTCTCTGAGAAGACCTTCTTCTGCTCTCCTCTGAGAAGACCTTCTTCTGCTCTTCTCTGAAAAAACCTCCTTCTGCTCTTCTCTGAGACGATCTTTTTCTGCTCTTCTCTGAGAAGACCTTCGTCTGCTCTTCTCTGAAAAGACCTCTTCTCTGAAAGGACCTTTTTTCTAAGGATCAATTGAGCTATTAACACTGAATTTTTATAGAACATCTGGTTTATTAATGTGGCTATTAAAAACCATTTTGGAGGTCTATTTTTTGAAGGACCATCTAAACTAAGTTACCTAAAAAAGGGCTATTCTAAAAAGTGGCATTGCCCCGTTTTCAGTGCCATTTATTCTGGATGTATTTCAAAGATCTCTATCAAATTTCAAAGCCTTATCCTGAATGGTAAGAAATATATCGCAAAACTATAAGAGTCCCTTTGTATATGGTCTTTTTTGAGAAAAAGTGTTATAAAAGCATTAAATTTTATTGAAGTTACATTTCCATTAGCATTATTATCTGGGCCAAATGGTCACTTTTTATAAAAATGTTGCCATAGGTCGCAAAATATTGATTTTATTAAGTTGGGCCAGTCCTCCATTATATCTGTTCCCACACTCACCCTTTATTGAATAAAATTTCCACTGCAGAATTGTTTTCTTAAACATTTAAATTCTCTTTTATTATTTTTTTGTTTAAAAAAATCCTCTTCACAATCTCCCCCACGCATTCCCTCAACAATCTGGATGTATGAAACCCCAACCAACAAAGGATCCCAACACAAGTCTACTGGCAATTTTCAGCATCGGGGATTCAATCAGCTGGCCATTGCATTTCTCTTGATCACGATACGCTTCTACGACCGTCCTGAGATTATCCATGGCACAATAACAATCCTTGTCCCAATCTTTGCTGTCACATGATTCTAAAGCAACTTCTTTCTGGCACTCATCCGCCACTACCTCATTATTTTTATCAACAACTGATTTGAAATTCTCAGCAAGTTCCATGAGATTGTATACTTGAAGCTTAACGATGACATGGTGATTGGTGTCCATCCAACATTCCAGCTTCTCGGAGTACTTTTCAACGAGCGTGAGCATGGAATCTCCGGCGCAATCTAAGCATTTTGTATTGACAAGATCGGCTGACCGTGTTGGCGTGGTAAAAATTACCAGGAATACTGAAAAGGGGAAAGTATAATGGTAAAAATTAATAAATTCTGAATTCAATTATTCATGAACATACCTCCGACAATAAAACACAATTTTGTATTCAACATTTTGTTAGGAATAATGGATCTATAAAAGTTCTAATCATTTTATAGCCCATATGTTTGGCTTTTATATTCGCTATAATATTTAAAAAAAATCGTTGTTCAAATTAACTTCAAATATAAATATTTCGAATATAAATAATTAATTGGAAACAAATGCACAGATGGCATGCGTTAATAATTTATTTGCATTTAGTCTACTGAAATGTCAGCTGGGATCTTCAGCCCGTTTTGAAGGTTACGAAAAGTGTATGATAACTCACAATTGACCAGAATTTTTCCTTTTTAGTCCCATAAAAGAAGACAGGAATATTCCTCTTCATAACCTTCTGGCATTCTGAGAGAAGACCTTCTGGTCTTCTGAGAGCTGACCATCTTCTATGAGAAGACCACGTTCTTCTGATCTTCTATGAGAGGACATTCCTGTCTTCTATGGGAGAACCTTCTGGTCTTCTATGAGAGGACCTTCTGGCCTTCTATGAGAGGACCTTCTGGTCTTCTATGAGAGGACCTTCTGGTCTTCTATGAGAGGACCTTCTGGTCTTCTATGAGAGGACCTTCTGGTCTTCTATAAGAAGACCTTCTGGCCTTCTACGAGAATACTTTCTGGCCTTCTACGAGAAGAATTGCTGACCTTCTGGTCTTCTATGATAAGATATTCTGGTCTTCTATGAGAAGACCTTCTGGTCTTCTATGAGAAGACATTCTGGTCTTCTATGAGAAGACATTCTGGCCTTTTATGAGAAGACCATCTGGCCTTCTATAAGAAGACCTTCTGGCCTTCTGTGAGAAGACCTTCTGGCCTTCTATAAGAAGACCTTCTGGCCTTCTAAGAGAAGATCTTCTGACCATCTATGAGAAGAATTTCAGGCCATAGAATTTCTGGCCTTCTATGAGAAGACGTTCTGGCCTATATGAGAAGACCTTCTGGCCTTCTATGTGCAGAGCTTCTAGCCTTCTATGAGAAGACCTTCTGGCCTTCTATGAGGAGACCTTCTGGCCTTCTACGAGAAGACCTTCTGGCCTTCTACGAGAAGACCTTCTGGCCTTCTACGAGAAAACCTTCGGGCCTTCTACGAGAAAACCTTCGGGCCTTCTACGAGAAGAATTTTTCGCCTTCTGAGAGAAAATCTTCTGGCCTTCAATGAGAAGATCTTCTGGCCTTTTGATAGTCTATGAGTTGACCTTCTAGTTTTCTATGAGGAGACCTGCTTGTTTTCTTTTGGAAAAAGTTCTGGTCTTTTATGAGAAAATGTTCTGCTTTTCTCTGAGAAGACCATTTCGTCTTCTATGAAAAGACCTTATGGGTTTCTGGTCTTCTATGGAAGACCTTCTTCTCTTTTGAGGCATGACCTTCTGCTCTTCTAAAGACTTCCTGTTCTTCCCTGAAAAGACTTTCTATGAGAAGACCTTCTGGCCTTCTATGAGAAGACCTTTTGGCCTTCTATGAGAAAACCTTCTGGCCTTCTATGAAAAACCTTCTGGCCTTCTATGAGAAGACCTTCTGGCCTTCTATGAGAAGACTTCTGACCTTCTGAGAGAAGACCTTCTGGCCTTCTGAGAAAAGACCTTCTGGCCTTCTGAGAAAAGACCTTCTGGCCTTCTACGAGAAGACCTTCTGGCCTTATACGAGAAGACTTTCTGGCCTTCTACGAGAAGATTTTCTGGCCTTCAATGAGAAGACCTAGTGCTATTCTATGAGAGGACCTAGTGCTCTTCTATGAGAAGACCTGGTGCTCTTCTATGAAAAAGCCTTCTGCTCTTCTCTAAGAAGTTTTGCTGCTCTTTTCTTTGAAGAACTTCTGTTCTTCTTTTAGAAGAACTTGTAATATTCCCTTAGAAGAACTTGTGATATTCCCTTAGAAAAATTGTTCTCTTCTTTATGAAGACCTTCCGTTCTTCTATGAGAAGATCTGATCTACTATGAGAGAACCTTCTGCTCTTCTCTGAGAAGACCTTCTATTCTTCTATGAAAACAGCTTCTGCTCTCATCAGTGAAGAATTTCTGCTCTTCTCTTAGAAGAACTTGTTTTCTTCTTTATGAAGACCTTCCGCTCTTCTATGAGAAACCCTTCTGTCCTTCTGTGAGAAGTCTTTGTCATTTTTTATAAGAAGAAGGTATTCTCTTATATAAAATGTATTTCTTGTCTTCTATAAGAAGTAATTCTGGTCTTTTAAAAGAAGACCTGATACTCTTCTATAAAAATACCTTCAGCTCTTTTATGAGAAAACCGTCTGCTCTTCTATGAAGGCCTTCGGCTATTCATACTGCTCTTCTATCAGAAGATCTTCTGTAAAAAGACCTATTGTTTTTCGGTGAGGGGACCCTCTGCCCTGCCCTTTGTGGCGCCACATTTAATGTAATTTCGGAAGAAGTTAATTTGCGTGACTTTTTCTGGCCTTGCCAAACCTTTTATTCTTAAGGAACACGCGTGCAGTCACAATGAACCTAATTTAGTAAATACAGTTGTTTCACAATTAAATGGATAATCGAATGCATTGTGAAATTTCGGAAATCCCTTTGTTTGAAAGACCATTGTTTTCTCATTAATTTTATAAGCTATTTAAATATTTGCAGTAAATGTAGAAGTTAAAAAGAATGAATAAGCCAAACAAAAAGAAAATAATTAGGCTTTAGATTTATCATCTAACAACATTTGTATAAATTGGCCATCTGTCTATATAAGTACGTCTTGAAATGGATATATTCAATTCATGTTAGCCAATATATCACAAATAGACATATTCAGAATGTTTTATTCAAAAGTGATTATATTTCTTTCTGGTAAATAGTATTTTCTAATTATTTTATGGAGAAGTTAAAAATAAGTCTTTTGTTTTTTTAGCCTTTATCCTTTTTTGTCTTAGTTTCTCCTCAGCGTTGGAGGACCCTTGTGACCAATGTATTGGTGACTCCATTGCCGAAAAGGCAAATATAATTAGCAATAAACGTGAATGTTGGTTCAATGCCAAACATCATTATATGGTGAAATTTAAGGATCTGATGATGAACACACTCGACGAAGAATTTGAGACACTGGTCAATGGTGCCAATGCCGAAGCATCGGAAGCCTGCAAGCAGGAAATTGCAATCGATGATTGTGAAAATATCGAAGAAATGGATGAACAAGCCAAATGTTTTATTAAAAATTGTAAAACAATGGCAGGGCTTTATCGTGACATTGAAGAGTGTGAAAAGAAAATCTTAATGCCACAACAGGCGAAGCTGATTGAGAGATTTTTGACAGGCATCATTGGTGGCTGGCGTCAAATTCATACAACTTGTTAGGGGAACAGAGAGAGAGTGAAAGAAACAATTAAAAGAAATGATATTTTAATAAATAAATAAAAATAAAAAACAAAATATTTAAATGTTTTAATCTATCGTTCTGTTGGAAATTATTGAATTAAGCGTTAATGCATGTCCTTATTTGGTATGACGAAGAGACATTGATTATCCGTGCTAAATGCCCTAATGCATTCTTTAAAAAATCGCGAATATTGCCATGAAGGTTCTGGGTACAAATTCTTTAAAAACTACGATTATTGCCTTGATGGTTCCCAGGTAAAATTTTAAAAGAACTCCGCCATTATTCATTTTTGATAATATTCGGAATGTTTTTTTTTTTTTTAAGGATCCGAGTTAATTTGCTTGATGGTCTTTAGAAAAAATTCTATAAAAATCTACAATAATTTACTTGATGGTTCACAGGAAAAATTATTTTTTTCGTGATTATTGCCTTGATGGTCCTTAGGAAAACTTCCCAAAAAATTCACAAATATTGTTTTAATGGACCTTGGGAAAAAAATTTTGCAAAAAATGCACAACTACTGCATTAATGATCCTCAGGAAAAATTACAAGACGATAATTTTTCCTGAGGATAAATAAAATATAAATAAAATAATGAATGTTACATCGATGGGCCTAAGGAAAGAATCTGTAAAAAAATTAACATTATTACTTCGATGATCGTCGGGAGAAATTATTTTAAAAAATCACAATTTTTACATCAATGGTTCTCAAGAAAAATATTTAACAACTTTCAAATTGTTATTGATGGATGGGTCCTCAGGAGAAATTCTTTAAAATCAATAGTTATTGCCCTGATGGTCTTAGAATTCATTATAAAAATTAAAATTTTTGCCTTGATGGTCCTCTGGAAAAAAATCTTAAAAAACCCCACAGTCATTGCCTTAAGGATCCTCTAGAAAAAAAATTTAAAAAAAAATCCGCGGCATTTGCCTTGATAGTCCTTTGGAAAAATTACAGGACTATTGACTTGATGGTCCTCTAGAAAAATACTTAAAAAAATCCGTAACTATAAACTTGATGGTTCTCCAGAAAAACTCTTAAAAAATCTACGACCATTGACTTGATGAAAAATTCTTAAAAAAATGCCTTGATGGTCCTTTGGAAAAAAAATCCACTACTATTGCCTTGATGGACCTAAAAAATTCCCCTGTTACTGTCTTATGGTCCCAATAAAAAATATTTACGGCCATTGGTTGAAATGTCCTCAGGAAAAATTCTTTAAAAATTCCAAAATTATTATTTCGTTTGTCATCAGAAAAAAAGAAATCTTAAAAAATCTTCAATTATTGCCTTAACGGACCTCAGGAAAAATTCTTTAAAAATTCCGCAATTATTGCCTTAAGGTCCTCAGGAAAAATTGTTTAAAATATCCACACTTTTTGATTTGATTTGATTTGATCTTCACAAATCCTTAAATTCTAAGGAAACTCCACTTAATTTGCCATAATTATCCTTAGGAAAAATTATTGTAAAAATTATCGGATATTGCCTTGTTGGTCCTCAGGAAAATTTCTCTAGAATTATTCTAGGTTCTGAAGAAAAATTCCTTAAAAAGTCTAAAATGATTGACTCGTTGGTTCCAGTTAAAGTTATTTAAAAACACCCAAATTATTGCCTCAGGAAAAATTCTGCAAAAAATCCACAATTATTGCCTCGATTGACCTCAGAAAAAATTATCTAAATTTTTCCATATACAAGCCCTACAAACCAACAGTGACATGTATATCAAATTTCAGGATTTCAGCTCTATTCCTTAACCCAATACCAAATTTACTATCATATAATACGCATATCCAAAACAACCGAACCATTATAGTAGGTATTTGCAAAACCCCCACCTGATCTCAATTCCAGATACAAACAGAGACAGCAACATAAAATTTCGGGATTCCGGCTCTGACCCTTTACCGAATATCTAATATAGTGCCACTTAGTACTTTTCGTATAGTTTTAATACCTATTTGCTAAATCGTTCTATATCTCAATGCCAGGTAACACAGAGACTTCAATATCAAATTTAAAGATTTCGGCTCTATCCCTTCACCCAAGACCAAATTCAGTACATTTTAGAACTTTTCGTACAATTATAATACACATTTCCAAAACCACCTCTATATCTTAACCACATACACCTACAGAGTCTTCTATATCAAATTTCGAGATTTCAGCTCTATCCCTTCACCCAAGACCAAATTTAGTACATATTAGTACTTTTCGTACATTTATAGTTCACATATCCAAAAAAAACCCATATCTCCTTTTCAGATACCAAGAGAGTCCTCAGTGTAAAATTTGGGGATTCCAGCTCTATATCTTTACCTAATACCCTATTCAGTACCACTTAACACTTTTCAAACAATTATAGTACATGTTACCAATAGAGACCTCAATATTAACTTTCGGAATTCTAGCTTCAATTTAAGTATTCATTTCGAGAACCATTTCATATCTCAACTCTAGATAACAACACAAACATAAATATCAAATTGGGGGATTCCAGCCTTATCTCTTTATCCAATACCAAATTTAGTTCAATTTAGTACGTTTCGAACAACTATAGCGCGCATTTCCAATCCCACCTCCAAATCCGAACCTCGAATACCAACAGTTACCCAAATATCAAATTTCAGAACTTTATTCCTATCCCTTCGCCCAATACCAAACATAGTGCCATTTTGTAATTTTCGTACAATTTTCGTACAATTTTCAGACCACACACGAACAGCGACCCTAATACCATGATTAACACTTCAAGCACTATCTCTTTACCCAATACAAAATTGTACCAAATATTGTACTATTTAGTACTTTTCGTGTACATATGATACACACTTCCAAAACTACCTCTTTATCACAAACCTAGCACTAAAAGGGACTCCAATATCAACATTTCAAAATTCCATCTTCATCCGTCCACCCTAAAACCAACTATTCCAATTTTAGTACAATTTATTACAGTGCGCACACTTAGGACACATTTCCAGAACCACCTTCATACTTACTTTTCAACCCTCGTAGCAAATTTTAAGTTTTTCGCTCTATCCGTCCACATAAAATAAATTGTACCTTTTTAGATGTTTAGTACCATTTTGGAACTTTTCATAATCTTAAAGTTCGAATTTCCAAAATGATGTGGTACATTTATCCTGCACTTCATCAGTGACTCACATTCGGAATTTCATAACGTTTGTTCAAAATATTAATTTTTTTTTTGTTCCTTTAAGTATTTTTGTACCCTTTTAGTACAAACTTCCAGAAACTCAGCCTTATCACACACCTACCCACCAAGACTGACTCTCGTAAAACTCATGACTCGTCCGCTTCGTCTGGGCGTTGATTCTCAGTCAGTTATTTCAGTACTTTACAGATTATTATCTAAGGAAAAATTCGTTAAAGTTCCACAATTATTTCTTTGTAGTCCGACTTTGTTTTCGGAAACGATGCATATTAAAAAATGAATAGCTGCAATTCCGTGTTGAGTTGTTTTTATATCTCCATTGATTTTTTTCAAGTCCCTTAAACTTATCTATTCATTAACAAAAACAAACACTTGTGTAAACTTCAGGCGGAAGTAAAAAAATTGACTACGCAAATTGACAACATGTCCTAAATCTGCAGCATTGTTCAGATTGGTATATAAATACAAATTATGTTAAAAAAAAAAATAAAACGTGCTACTGAAAATCAACAGCGGATAATTTAAAAATGACAAAAATCAGCACTTATATTGCACTTGGTGGTAAGAAGAAAAATTATTCAAAACATAAAAACCTATTAAGAATTAAAATAACTTTTTTCTAGTTCTGGCCTGCCTTGTACCCTCTTCGCATCAAAGTACTGCCCGCACTACAACGGTTTGCAATAACTGTCCAGGCGGACAACTTGAAACGGATGTAAATCGTTTAACGACACTTATACTTTGTTACAATCGTCGCGGTTTATTGGGTGTTTTACCCATAAGTTTATTACAAATCAATGCCGCCAACCTACAACTTGAAGAACTGCACAGAAGTTGTTACAATGCGGTTCCATCAAATTGCCGAGATCGAGTGGCGCCACAGACCTGTTCTGAAATTGTTTGCACAACGGATCGTATGCGTCGGCTAGCCGCATCCTATAATAGAATGGAAATTTGCAACGGTGGTCCACCGAATGATCTTCAGGTGAGGGGTGTTTTAACCCTTGTCGGATCACTATTGAATACGGTACTGGGATTGCTGAATCCGGTCATTCGATTGTTATGTTTGGTGTAGAGGGGTTATACAAACATATGTAGGTTTAAAAAAAAAAATATTCTCAAAATGTTTAATATACCTTCGAAAAACTAAGCAAAAAAATTGACTCTTTTTTCGATCAAGGCAATAATTGTGGATTTATTGAGAACTTATTAATGAGGACCATCAGAACAATAATTTAGGAATTGTGAAGAGGTCCACGAAAGCAATAATTGTTGATTTTTCACAAACAGGTCCCCCAAGGCAATAGTTGGGCAATTCCCTAAGGAATATTATAGAAATTCCTTTGGAATTTTAAAGGATTTTTCCTGAGAATCATAAAGTCAAAAGTCGAGGATATTTTAAGAATTATTAAGAGGACGATCAAGGTAATATTTATAGATTTTTCGAGAATTTTTCTGATGTCCATCAATGCAATAATTGTATGTTTTTAAAATAGGAGGAGGAGGAGGATTTTTAAGGATTCTACATAGAGGATGAGATAAAAAAAACTGCAACCAAGTCAATTTTTACTTTTTTTTCATTTTATTGAATGAAAGCAAAAAATGTCGGAAGTGTCATAACAATTTAGAATAAGTTTTGATTTTTTCGAATTGTCCACCTTTGGCACGAATTATGGCCTTCAAACGGCCTATGAAATCGTCACACGCTGGCCCATACCCGGCGAAGCGCTTGCTTAAGGTAATCGAAACTTTGGTATTTTTTAGTGCCAACCTTGCTTTCCAAAATACTGCAGACACAATAGTCCAACGTATTGGTATCCGGAGATTTTGGTGGTCATTGTGCGCTGGAAATGAAGCGAGGAACCTCATTTTGTTGCCATTCTTGGTATCGTATTGGTATCCGGAGATTTTGGTGTCCATTGTGTGCTGAAAATCAAGCAAGGAACCTCATTTTGTATCCATTCTTGGGTGACGCGTGCTGAGTGTGATGTTGCTGAGTACTGTTGGAATGTCCAAGGTCTGCTGCCAAAATGTTTATGTGCCCAAGGCTTTAATACACCTTCCAGGATATCTTCGCGACAATATTCGGCATTTATTCTGATGTCACGATCAATTAATACGAGCAGAGAGCGACTATAGACAGTTATGGCGGCCCACACCATCACAATGGCCGGCGCTTGAGTTCTGGTGGCCAACAGAAGGTGCACATTTTCAGCTGACCTCTTTGGCAAGTTAACACGATCATTTTGTTTGTTTACAAACTGTTGGACAACGAATGTTTTCTCATCGGAGAAAACCAAATTCGGCAGTTCACCACTTTCGACCAGCAAACAAGCGAAGCAACTTTTTAGCTCTTTATTTGAGTCAATTTTCTTTCTGTTGCGGAGTAAGTTCTTGCACTTTTTGGAATTTTAATGGCTTTACCCCGAGCTGATTTTTCAATAATTGCCGAATTAAATATTGTGGTATGTTCAGCTCACGAGCCATTTTTCGGCCACTGCGACGCTGCGATTCAGTCGCTACTTTACTTTTTGAACCATTTCTGCTCTTTTACTGTTTTCTTCCGTCCACTTTCTTGACGTCGGGCTACGCTACGAGTATCACGGTAACAAGACATGGTACGAGACACAAAAGATTTATTCACATTTAAATGCTGGATTGCTCTAATGATAGCCACTTGTGGTTTTCCAGCCAAATATAAAAAAAATCCCGCTAACACGCTTGAATTTTATCAAAATAACTTTTTTTTGGAAAATTCTCACCAAATGCTTTTGTACGCTTGTAAGCAATATAATGACCTGTCACTGGAATAATTTTAACAGTTGTCGGACGAGTGGCTTAGAAATGACAGCAGTCTGAAGTTGGTTGCAGTTTTTTCATCTCACCCTCTATGTACTTAATGTTACTTAATTTGGTATTGGGTATTTCTTTAACCAGCTGAATTTCTGAAATTTGATAGTGAGGTCACTGTTGGTCCCTAGTGTTTACATACGGAGGCGTTGAAATAGTTTTGGACATATAAATTCGATGTGGGTCCATTTCTTAAACCCTGCTCGGCAATCTTCAAAATAGAAAATGTTGAGGACTTTTTGTTAAAAGTTAACATTTTTCTAATAGAGTTTTTTTTCAGATTTCTTAATTTTTTTTTTATGGACCAACAATGGCCTACTTTTGTGAACCCAAGCTCTTTTCAGGACTTCTTAAGAAATTGTAAAATATAAAGAAAATTGTGTAATTATTGTATTAATTTTATTCACTTATTCAACATTTATTAACAGTATGAGAGGAAACAACTAATCTAAGTAATAATTTTACAACTACCGATCTACCGGCCAAAGAGACCAAAACCACCAGAGAGACCACCTAAATTTGCGGAGAGCCCAAGGCCACCGTTGCTCGATGAAGCACCATAGCTTCCTGACGATCCATGATTTCCACCACCAATTGAGGCAGACAGACCACCTAAATTAAGTCCGAGGCCAGAACCTCCATAACTACTGCCGTGGGATGATCCAACTGAGCCGCTGTAACCTCCACTATGCGAGCCACCAATACCTCCATTATGAGTTCCCTTGGAACCATAAGATCCAGAGTTGCCACTGGCACCAATAGACCCAGAGAGTCCACCTAGGCCAAGAGAGGCACTGCCACCATGGCTGGATCCACTGTAGCCACCATTATGCGAACCACCAATGCTAGCACCAATACCACCAGTATGAGTTACCTTGGAACCATATGATCCACTATGTGTGGATCCAGAATTGCCACTAGCACCAATAGATCCGGAGAGTCCTCCTAGGCCAAGAAAGGCACTGCCGCCATGACTGGATCCACTGTAGCCACCACTATGAGTTCCAGCAATGCTCGCTCCAATACCTCCATTGTGACTTCCCTTGGAGCCATACGATCCGGAGTTGCCACTGGCACCAATGGAGCCCGACAGTCCTCCTAGACCAAGAGAGGCACTGCCACCATGACTGGATCCGCTATAACCACCATCATGCGAACCACCAATGCTAGCTCCAATTCCTGCATTGTGAGTTCCCTTGGAGCCATACGATCCGCTATGGGATGATTCAGAATTGCCACTGGCAGCAATAGAAGCACTGCCAACATTACTGGAGCTACCACTGTAACCGCCTTTGTGTGTGGCATCCAAACCAGCAGATAAACTTCCACTGGAGCCATGAGATTGTCCCTTAGCGCCAGAGTTGCCACTGGCACCAATCGATCCAGAAATTCCACCTACATGCGCCTCTTTGTGGCCACCACTAACGCCAGCACTCAATCCACCATGGGAGCCACCAATTCCAACTGAACCACCTTTGTGGGCTGCATTTAGTCCAGCCGAACTTTGTCCTTTGGAAGATACGGTAGCTTGACTTGCAGCGGAAGCTAAAGCAGATGAAACACTGGAAGCAACAGCCTGGGAATTTGCGACGGCAGAAGCAACTGCATTGGCGGCAGCGGATGTAGCCGATCCACTACTGAGGCCAGCGGCGGAACCTACGCCAGTAGCTGTGGCAGATGCTGCAGCTGAGGATGATCCAGCTGCAACATGGCTTGTTCCAGAAGCGTTGCCACTTGCAGTACTTGTTCCTTGACTGGAAACCGATCCAGTAGCAGAGCCATGAGCAATACCACTTCCAGATCCTACACCAGCAGCGGTTGCGGATCCACTTGCAGTAGAAGCAGATCCAATTCCACTGGCTATTGATGATCCATGAGCACTTCCACTTGCACTTCCAGATCCACCGCCAGAAGCTGTTGCGGATCCACTTGCGGCGCTAGTTCCTTTGAGGGATGCTGATCCTGTTGCGGATCCGTGAGCTGTTCCACTGACAGATGCTGATCCATGGGCAGAGGCAGACCCAATACCATTACCACTAGAAGATCCTACCCCAGAAGCTAATCCGGATGCAGTGCCATACGAGCTACCACTTGTAGTGGCAGTTGCTTGGGAAGTACTTGTTGCCGCACCTTGACTTGTTAATGAGCCATGAGCATTTCCACTGGCTGTTGAGGATCCAGTTCCAGAAACTGTAGAAGTGCCAGTGGCGGTAACTGAACCTTGAGCAGAGGAGGATCCAGTAGCGGAACCAGAGGCTAATGCCTGAGCAGAGGCAGCCCCACTTGCATTAGAGGTACCAGATGCGGTAGCATGAGCACTGCCGCTGGAACTTGCTGAACCATGAGCCGAAGCAGAACCAGAGGCGTAGCCAGCACCACCAGCTGATCCAGATCCCTTTGAGAGTGATGAACCATGAGCATTGGCCTGATTAAAAAAATATAATTACAATCTCTCTCTCTAAAATAAAGTCCAGTCAAGAAACCAACCTGATTTGAGGCGGTCACAGCGGAGGCAGCAACCTGGGCATAAGTGGCACCCGAGCCATGAGCTGCGCTCGATGTGCTACCATAAGCCGAGCCCGAGCTAGTACCTGAGGCAACACCATTAGCCGATGAAGTGCTACTGGCAGATCCGGTAGTGGCAGATCCACTACCAAAACTTGTGGTGGATCCATGGCTGGTGGCACTGCTTTGGACAGTGGAGGAGGAGGTTACCTGTGTTAAAGAAGAAGAACATATTGATGAGCCTTAACTCCCTTGATTTATCCACGGATGACTCACCTTAACTATGGACGAAGAGGACGAAGATGATGTTGAGGAAAATCCAGCGGAACCCTGGGCTGAGCCACTGCCAGATCCAGAAACTGTAGACGTGCTAGTTGTGGTACTTGTTGTAGTTGTAGCCTTGTTTCCATAGCTACCTTTATTACCACCTGCTCCAAAGCTGCCAGAGGCGCCACCGTAATTTCCTTTATTGCCAGCGGCGCCACCTTTGTTGGCACCACCAAAATTCCAGGAAGCACTACCCTTATTAGATCCACCATATGTTACCTTGTGTCCGCCACCGATACCAGCACCAATGCCGCCGGAAGTGCTACCTTTGTTGTAGGCTCCTGTGTGAGAACTACCAGACACAGTAGCGCTGGCGGAAGAAGTTGAGGTGGAACTGCCTCCAATGCTACCAGCCACACCACCTTTATGTCCGCTACCAATGCCAGCTCCAAAATTGCCAGAAACACCGCCCTTGTTGGCTGAACCATAGCTTTGTTTATGACCCCCACCAATACCGCCTCCGATGCTTCCAGAAGCACCACCTTTGTTGTAGGAACCTGTCTGAGAGCTGCCTGACACAGTAGCGCTGGCGGAAGAAGTTGAGGTGGAACTGCCACCAATGCCAGCTCCAAAATTGCCAGAAACACCACCCTTGTTAGCCGAGCCATAGCTTCCTTTATTACCAGCACCAATACCGGCTCCTATGTTTCCGGAAGCACCACCTTTGTTGTAGGCTCCCGTGTGCGAACTACCAGACACAGTAGTGCTAGCAGAGGAAGTTGAGGTAGAACTGCCACCAATGCTGCCAGCTAAACCACCTTTATGTCCTCCACCAATTCCTGCTCCAATGCTGCCAGAAACACCACCCTTATTAGCTGAACCATAGCTACCTCTGTTACCACTGATGCCAACGCTTCCAGATGCACTACCCCTGTTGTAGGCTCCGGTATGGGCTGCACCAGAGTAGCCTCCTTTGTTAGCAGAAGAAGAGACACCTGAAGTGCTTGTGGTTACAGAGGAACTTGAGGACGAAGTGGAACTGCTTCCAATGGCGCCCAATTCAGCATCTTTAAGACCACCACTAATTCCAGCTCCAAAGCTTCCGGAAACACCACCCTTGTTGGCGGAACCATAACCACCTTTGTGACCACCACCAATACCGGCTCCTATACCTCCGGAAGCACCACCTTTGTTGTATGTTTCTGAATGTCCAGAACCAAGGATGCTAGAGACACCAGTTGCACTGGCGCTAGCAGAAGCAGTAGACGAGCTGGTAGAACCAGCTACATTTTCGCCACCAACACCAGGCCCACTAATGCCAGATGCACCACTAATACCCGAGGCAACTCCTTTATGGATGTCACTTAAACCTGCTCCAATGTTTCCAGAAGCAGAAGCATCAGCCGTGGCAGACGAAGGAGCTCCAATGGCGCCAGATCCACCATAACCAACTTTGTGGCCACCATCTTGGATTGTGGCTCCGCTGTGAGAGGCTCCAATATTACCACTTAATCCACCCAAGGAACCACCAATGCCAGCTGAACCCTTTGAGCCGCTATAAGCTCCACTGGCTTGTCCATTGTGAGACGTACCAATACTTCCACTCAATCCACCAAGATTAGCACCAATACTGGCAGATCCTTTAGAGTCACTGTGGGAGGTACCAATACTTCCACTTAATCCACCAAGATTGGCACCAATGCCAGCTGAACCCTTTGAGCCACCATAACTTTGACTCGTTGCGCCGCTATGAGAGGCTCCAATATTGCCACTTAATCCACCCAAAGAGCCACCAATTCCGGCTGAACCCTTTGAGCCGCTGTAAGCTCCACTGGCTTGTCCATTGTGAGAAGAACCAATACTTCCACTTAATCCGCCAAGAGAAGCCCCAATGTTGGCAGATCCCTTAGAGTCACTGTGGGAGGTACCAATACTTCCACTTAATCCACCAAAAGATCCACCAATGCCAGCTGATCCCTTGGAGCCACCATAACTTTGGCTTGTGGCTCCACTGTGAGAAGCTCCAATATTGCCACTTAATCCACCCAAAGAGCCACCAATGCCAGCTGAACCCTTGGAGCCACCATAACTTTGGCTTGTGGCTCCAATGTGAGAGGCTCCAATATTGCCACTTAATCCACCCAAAGAACCACCAATGCCAGCTGAACCCTTGGAGCCACCATAAGCTCCAGTTGCTTGACCATGAGAAGCTCCAAAACTTCCGCCAAATCCGCCAAGATTGCCACCAATACCGGCCGAACCGCCATAACCTCCCTTCTTTTTACCTTCAAGACCCGCAGAGATACCAGATCCCAGGAATCCACCATTATCACTACTGGAACCGCCAATATTTAAACCTCCGCCCAGGCCACCAAGGTTGCCACTTAATCCAATGCCATAAGCTGCATAAATACACAACATTGTAATTCCGTCTAAACTCAAACTTTGCCCGAACTCACCATTGGTCAGAGCCACTCCAATCGCTAATAATCCAAATACCGTTACGCCTCTCATCACTGTCAATAGAACTATGTTTCAAAATTTCCAACCGCCGGCTTCTTTTATAGAACTTTGCTGAGCCAAAAAAATATATTTTTAATTTTTTGATAATTTTCTTTTCCTTCTATTTTTGGCTATCTTACTGTCGCACGTTTGTAATTGACCATAAAACAAAAACAAGAACACAACAAACGTATCCAAAAACTGGTTCCTTTCTTTTGTCTCTTTTTTTCAGCTGGTTCTTCACACAATTCTAAGAAACGGATTAGCATAATTTGATCGATTTTCTCATGATTATTTAAATGTGATTTTTATGATAGGCCACTACTAATTTCGTAGCGCCTGGAGCTTCTCCATCTATTTTCTAAAACGTGCTACATATTATCATTAACAGATGGGTCCATAATTACAAGAAATCTAATCCAAAATCTGTCATGACGTAAAGGTGGCTTTAACGCGACACAAACATAAGGCGATGGTCATTTTTTTTTTTTTTTTTTTTTTTTTTTTTGAAAATATTGTATATATTTTGTTAATTTTGAAACTCACGAACAATTCTAGGTGTTCACACCCACCTAATGAACAAGTAAGCAAAGGCTATAGCCGTGCGGGGCCGACCATGTGATATGCTACAACACTAAAATATGTTAGAAGCCCCTTTATGTCCAAATCCATTTTGGAAGATTTCTCTTTTGAAATTTTTCTAAATATATTGCGGACATCTTTGATAAGAATAGGCCTAGCCCTTCTGAGCCTAACCCTACCCTTGTGAAAATTTGGATCGGATGATAATTGCAATCTGTATATAATAACCCTAAGCTGTGTTGTAAGGATGGAAAAGTATTACAAAATATACACTTCAATATTAAGTCAAATTGAAACCAGTAAAGAAAGTCCTAAAGTCGGGCGGGGCCAACTTTATGATATTTGCTAATTTAGTAGAGCTCCGCATAACAATTAAAAGTTTTTATGGGAGAATTCAATCATCCACCCTCTGATTAGAATTATAATTTAGAGTTCAAAAGACTAAAATGCCGAAGCATTTGTATCTTTAAATTCGGACTTGTATTGCCCATTTGGTGCACAATTCAAAGACATAGCAGTGTAAAGATGGGACAAGACAGAGTCAAGAATAGAATTTTGAAAACCAATTTTTGGATTTTTCAAACGTTTTTTTATCATTTTTTTCTATAAACGTGTTTTTTTATATTAACATGGTCCTATGAACTGTTATCTAGATAGTATAGCCACGAACCATTTGCTCAGAATGCATTTTGTCTAGTCTTTACCATTTTAGGTCTTTGCACAATTAATTTGAAATCGGATAAAGATATATATGGGAGCTATATCCAAATCGGAACCGATCTCGATGAAATTTAGCAAAGGAATTTCTGAGCTGCATTTGATATATTTCCCTAAATATTGTTGTTACGGAGTGCATATTACGGCTGTGGGTAACAAATATTACAAATCGGATGAACCGTATATATGGGAGCTATAGCTATATCTGAACCGATCTTCACCAAATTTGGCATACTAACTTCTAGACTCAATTCGGAGTAAGTGCCAAATTCCATCCCATTGGGCAAATATTAGACGTTTGGTGCACAATAAAAGGTAAATCGGACGAAGTTATATATGAGAGCTATATCCAAATCTGAACCGATCTCGATAAAACTTTGCAAAGGTATTTCCGAACTGCATTTGATATATTTCCCCAAATATTGTTGTTACAGAGTGCATATTAAGTCGGCGTCCAAACAAATGTTGTTTGGAAAATTTCATCTCAATCGGATAATAAATGCGACCTGCATTTTGTTCACAAGAATACATGGACAGACGGACTGACATGCATAAATCAACTCCCTCTCCATGTTACAAATAAATGCACAAAGACATAATACCCTTATGAAAATATGAAATAATAAGTATCACAAAATACTACAACATATATTAACGTCATTAATGGCATCTTTTTATGCGATTTTTTTAGATTCTTTCATTTTAAGCCAATAGGAGATTCTGAATTGACAAAATCTGTCAAAATCGGTCCAGCGATTCTTGTAGTATAAGCATTCTAGCTTACATCGCTTTCCTTTGTATACGCATTGTATATATATCGCTATATATATATCCGATATATTTACTATCGGCATCTACGTAACGGTCAGAATTAACTTTTCATCGGGATTGAAAATATTCGAGGTTTAATGGAAAATTTGACTTTTAGTTAACACAAATGTTGTGGTCCATTACACCTACTAAATATTACCCAATGACCATCCAAATTGGAAGAATTCAGCCCAGACCTAAGCTCTAGCTCCATGCATGCTCCCGCACATCTCTGTGGGTCTTCAAGGTTAAAAGGAGCTTTTGGCGGGTATTGGTGGAAATCTTGGTAGGTTAGGGGGAAATAGAGCAGACTCCCACAGCGGACAGGATAGTGGAGCTTATGGTGGCTCTAAGTGCTCAGCAGGCACTTCATTGGGTCGATTATCTTCCAATAGTAGAGCCTTTCACACTGGAGCTACAAGACCCTTGCTCACAAAATATGCATTAGTAGTTGTGAGACACTCTCCTGCCCTGCCAAATAAACTTCAAATGCAAATCGAGAGAGAATACATTTACTTTGTTTAAACTTATTCGTTCGAGGGTTCTACCGACTACGGATAACTGGAAATATTGGTGCTTTACATAATGACCAAACGAGTCGAGCTTAGGGTGTCTCCAAGGCTTCAGCTGGAAGAATTGGTTCTTCTCACAATGGACAAGCCAGTGGAGCTTGTGGTGGCTCTAAAGGATCAGCTGACATTCGTGGCACTTTGGGTGAATTAGGTGGAATTTAATGGATTCTCATAAAGTGTGACGCTTATGATGTTTCTAAGAGTTCAGCAAGTATTGACGGTGGATATGGAATCATTGGCGTTTTCTATAGTGTTGAAATGAATGGACCTTACAGTGGCTCCAATGGTTCAACTAGCATCCGTGGATTACGTGGAATACTGGTTCCTTCCACAGTGACTCTAAGGATTCTGCCAATATTAGCACAAATCTCTTTGGATTGACTGACCATATTGGATATATAATAATATGACCACTTATATTGGTGCCGGCCACAGCACAGATGTTGGTGGAAGTCATGATGTACTACTTGCATTGGTGGTTATCATAAGGATACTGCGTCTGCCTCTGCTGGCATTGCTGGTAATATTGGCGGATCATATAGGAGTAGCGAGTCTGGTACCATTGGAACAGGAATTGATAGAGGCCACATAGTTGGTTATGGCGAATCTAATAAGGCTGGCACATATGTTGAGTTTGTCTTTTATGTCTGATTTTGCAGCTTTTGCAGGCATTGGAGCCTGTATAAGTGGCATTCGTAAAGGAGTTGCCCCGAGGAGTTGATAACAAAGGTTATTATGATGCATCTAGCAGCATTGGTGCTGGTAGTGGTTACGGAAATATAGCTGGTTTATCATGTTCCACCAGTGCATATACAGCATCTACTAGCGCCAGTGCAATTGGTGTCTCTAGGCTCCTTGGTTCTGGCATACAGGAGCATACAACAAAAGGATGGTATTTCGGAAGTTATAGGTGTCTGTATAGGGGGTGGCCACAAATAAGGATGGTATTTCCGGTGGTCTTGTAGCTGAAATTGGTCGTGACAAGTCACACTGGAGTCTACAACAAAAGTGGTGTTTTCGAAAACATTGGAGCCGGTTTTGGCGCAGGTAGTACCGGTACGGGATGCTACAATAAAGGCGGGGCTTTTGGAAACATTGGAGCTGGTCATAAAGGAAGCTATGGTTCAACCAACAACAGCAAAATTTGTGGTTGCTTTGGAGCTGGTACTGGTATCAGACACAGAGGCAATGTGGCTTGTATCTTTAACATCGGCAGTATTTCTGGTAGCATTGGAGCTGGTACTAGTGTTGGACACAACGTTAATATGGTTTGTAGCCCTGAGGGTATTTTTTCCGTAACTCCATGTGGCAGTGCTTTAGTATCGGGTAGCACCCATACAGGAGTAGCCGGAATTAGTAGTGCTCACAAGGCCAGCTATGATTCCACTTACGAAGCGGTGTTTCCAATATATGTCACCGTTTGGTGTCTGTGGTTGAGAGGAGGAGCTGGTTTTGGAAATCTTCACTATAATGGTTAAAAGTACTGAATGGTACAGTATTTGGTACAATATTTGGTACTATAAATAGGGTATTGGGTAATGCTGAAATCCTGAAATTTGAAATTAAGGTTTCTCTTGGTATCTAATATTGAGATATAGAGGTGGTTTTGAAAATGTGTACTATAATAGTACGAAAAATGCAAAATAATACCTAATTGGGTATTGAGTGAAGGGAAATTTTATTTTGTGGTCTCTGTTGGTGTGGAGATCTGATGCTAGTATAATTATATTTTATAACAGCTCAATTTATTATTTTTTTTATAAATAATCAAAAATTCAATACTTGATATAAATTACAACTTCAACGGTGTTAAAAAATCAACATCAATATTGACTGTTGCATTGACAAGCTGACAAACTGACTACTTGCTGCAACTTATAATGAATGCAGCGACCACAACAAACCGATAATCATCATCATTAAATGATTGGAAAATAAATTATAATTTTTATTTGCAATAACATTAAACGTTATTAATTGCATGCAGATGGCAGATGTTCCGAAATAAGGTAGGTCATACGAAGGGAAAGGGAATTGTTGTAATCATCGATTATTGACGAATAGAAATAGAATATAAAAATATGGTAGTAATATATTAAAGAAGTCTCTATAGAGTCACCAGATTCGTAGACGACATACATCTTTCCTTCCGAACATTAATCAAAACATTCTCCTGAATAAACTGATTTTTAAACCCTCCATCTTGAAAAGGATGCCATTTTGTTTGTAGCATCCCTAAATATTCATCGTAGACCCCATAAAGTATACAGGGTGGGATGAAAAAACTGCAACCAACTTCAGACTGCTGCAATTTCTAGGCCACTAGTCCGACATCTGTTAAAATTATTCCAGCGACAGCTCATTATA